GTAGATTTGTGAAGTAAGCAACCAGCTACTAATTCTATTTTGCTAATAGCAGCATTCTTATAGATCTAGAAGAGGACACAGAGTTTGCATTACATGATGTACATGTTTTTGGCATGTGTGCCTGTAGGGTTAATAATCAAATACAAGCTGTCGATTGTAAATTAGCACATTATAATACATGCTGAGTGGGCGAGTGACAGGATCGCTGCCATAATGCATGCTGTATCTATTTATGAGCCTCAGTTAAATATTTAATGACACATGCTTCTTTTGGCTGTGCCATTAGTCAACATCATCTGCTCTTTAAAGAAAACTAACAACACTTTGTTTATTGGAAGTACTTAGCAGAAAGTTGTACAGCTACAGTCATCGCTGAACTCTTACCAGAACTTGCTGTTAGAAGAAACAGGTCTCTACAGACACTGAGCTTTTTGCCAAGCATAAAATGCATCCAGATCTACTTCATTCATATGATGAAATTAGTAAATTAGCTAACTATAGACAATACAGGTAAGCATGTGGTACGTTGACTATTATTTGACTACAACGCACAAAATGATAAAGCATGATAGGAAATGAAGTCCAATATAGATGGCGTGTTGTTCTCATTCACCACTATCTCCTCTGCAAAACTTTGAAATGAGGCCATGTAATACAGTGGTTCTTAAAGCAAAACCCCAAGCACCATAACCACTACAGACTGCAGTAGAGGTTGCAGTACCATTTTATTAGCTCTCCATAGCTAACCATATTCATTCTGGTTGTTCTCATTGGCTGAGAGTGTCAGCTGAGCAATCTCAAACAACTAGCACAATCCTGTATCGGCAGAGACACACGTGTCTTCTCATAAGTGCCTGTGACAAACGCTCCTTCCCACGTACGTTTGCCACGAACTCCTGGAGGAGTGTGGAATCTGGCCTCCTGCCCACGACTATAGTCCATGTCTGAGACACCGTTTGGGAGTTACCCTGACCAGCCGCCATTAACAGCTTTCCCTGGGTGCCCCTGGTTCGGCACTTTCCCTTCATTCGAACTGAACCATATGCTAGCTCCCTGGCAGCTGTTCACATGAACCAAACCCACAATTGTTATGGAACTAATTTCGTCATGAGGACTTCGTGGGTTCCCGGTCAAGTCAGGGGTACTTAGCTGCGAATGTTAATGGTTTTCGGCATGAGATGACCGTGCGGTTCCCGGACAACTTGGTCCAGGGTTTTGAATCACTTTGCAACCTGCCAGGAGAGCACTATTTGGAAGGAAGGTGCCTGAGACTAAGGGGAACAAATGCTCCCTAAGGGCCAGTCAGAGCACCCAGTATTGCGGATGCAGGAGATCCCTAAATCCCTATGCCCAAAAGTTCCAAACGCCCTGGAACTATTTTGGGCATAGGACCACGTGTGCGGCTGGTCAGAACTTTAACACGGTGCCGTTTCCCCTACACTGCATGGAACTGAGCGCTATTTGGAGAACTTGAGCGCTCAGATCAGGGTTATTTGTGTGGTTATTGTATGTTTTTATGATGTTCTGGGGTATGTTTATGTTTTTTATGTTTTGTGTTGGGCTCTCTTCTCCAGGTAGTTGCTGGGGTCTATGCATAAAATGCAGAGTTTGTCTCATATAAACCAGTTGTGCTCCTAGAACTATGTGTCGTCTAGTTACTGGGAGGGGAAAGGGCTAATCACTACTACAGCTCCCAGGACTGTGTGTCGTCCAGTCCCTG